CCTGCTCCCGGCAGCGGACGGCACAAAGCGAGGAGGCCTGGACAAGGCAGCACGCTCCCCGCTCTCGCTGCATCGGGGCTTTTCTCCTCCAGGCCGCTTTCGAAGTCCCCTTCTCCGCTCCCAAGAGCCGGAGCCGCTGCTTCCAGGCCCTGTCCGAGCCCCGACTTGTGGCCTCACTTCGAGGAGCGCCTGTTGCTGGGGACAGGGCTGCATCCCCCTCAGCCGCCGCCTCGCTTCCTTCCAGGAGACCCGACGGCTCCCCCTCTCCCGCTCGCCCTCCTGCGCCCACAGCAGACCGAGACCTCCCCGCCCCCGCCCGGCTCGGCCCTACCTGGGCGCCTCCAAGCCCGGCCGCCTCCGCGTCGCGCTCCACGCCGGGCAGCTGCAGCAGGGGCTGTGCGGGGGCGCGCGGTGGCCCGGCTGAGCGCGCCCCGGAGCCGCCGCGCCGTCGCTCGCGAGTCCCTCCGAGAGCCCGCGGGACTGACTCCGGAGTCACGAGGCGGCGCGTCGCCCAGGGAAGGGGCGGCTTCCCACAAGCACGACGACCGAAAAGAGCCCAGCAGAGCGCGCGCCCCGGAGGACTTGGGGGGTCTGTAGGGCATCAGTGGCCCTCAGAATTCTGCCCGCCCCTCGCCCCATTTGATCCAGATTTACCCTCTGGGGAGAGCGAGCCCCGGCCCAGCAGGGGGCGCCCTCGCTCCGTCCTCCGGGAAGCAAACGCCCTCGCCCGCCTCCCTCCAGGCAACATCTCGCGGCACACCAGGCAACATCTCGCGGCACACTAGTGTGCCGCGGAACACCGGTTGGGAAACACTGGACTAGATGACCCTTGGAGTTGTTTGCTTATGATTTCAAAACTTCCCCTGTGGGAAAAGTGCCCTGCCTAAAGGGCTCTCCACCCAGGCAGAAAGTCCTCGCAGGAGACGAAGCCGCGTTGAGAAGCATTTGGCGAGGAAAGAGGCAGGGATGTTTAACGCCATCGCACCATAAATTTAATAGGCTCGGGAGATTAATTGGAAATGTCAGGCAGAGCTTCCCTGGTCCCTGCATTTAAAAGGATGCTAAGCTCAAGAAAATAGCAGCTGAATTGACAATTTGGAGGAGAGGAGATGGCGAAGGCTGTTCCAGCAGCTGACCCGAAGTTAAAGCGGTTTTCTCCCCACTGACTTTCTGCAATCATGAAGGATTATGCAGGACGGGAGTGATGTCTGAAACCCACAGCAGATAGACAGACCTGCTGGAGGATTAAGGCGTGTATCCGAGGCGAGGACATGGCCCAGGAAGAGAGTTTTCGTGGGCTCCCTCAGTCGCGTCTGCGTTTCAACGCTTCCTCTGAGGAACAGGCTTCTCCTATTTAAGAAACCGAACGTTCAAAACAAACTGAGCCTGTGTTACTGGAGCTTATAGGATTTCACAAACCAAGTGGAAAATGAACATATCAGTAGCAGAGGAACAGATCTCCAAAGCAGCTGGCCCAACGCAGCAGGAATCCTCGCTAACCGTTTCTCAGGGGAAGAAACCTTTGCTAGGCTCCCAGCGCATTCCTGACGGAGGACTCCGGAAAGAGCTGGAAGTTGTGCTTCTGCGTGTGGTCAAGGCTTCGTATTTTTGGGAGCTTAGCCCTAGCACAGAACAGATTGTCCCGCAAGAGGGAAGGGAAGGAGGGTCAAGGGAGGCGGCTGGGCTGGAGCCGGCTGGACATTGAGACATCAGCTGGCTAAGAGGGTGCACAGAGGACCTGTGGCTTGCGGCTGCCTTCTCCCAGGGCTCTCAAAAGGCCTCATGTTTTGTCTGTGAACACTCCAGACTGTTTACCCAGGAAGGCAAGTGGCACCCTGAAGGAGCGGTTGCAGCTGTTACCGTCACAGCAGGGCAAGCACACAATCTTCCCTGCTGTGCAATTTGCACGAATCGCATGTGCAAAATTGCACGCAATATTGTCGAGATTCCGTAGAAAACAAAAGATGCTCTTGAGGACGAAGAGTAGCTCGGGACGGAAGGCAAAATAGCTCTTTCCCCACCAGACACAGCGATTAGGTGTTAACCCTTGGGACTCACCAAATGAAAAACATGCCCATTATTTTCCTAATCAGCCCTCAGGGAGGCAGCAAGACTATTCGCAGCAGCACAGCTATTAGGGACTCATTGGGCTCATAAGGGACCGATGCTGCAACAATATGGATCTCAGATCTCAAATCTGTGCTGGAAATGTAAAGGGAAAGAGGGTACCTTTTATCATATGTGGTGGTCCTGTGGGGTGGTAAAAGCTTTCTGGGAAATGATATATAATGAGTTGAAGAAAATGTTTAAGAAAACTTAGGTTAAAAAACCTGAAGCTTTTCTGTTAGGTATAATAGGTGAGGAACTGCCAAAATAAAATAAAAGACTGTTTATGTATGCAACGATGGCAGCAAGAATGCTTCTAGGCCAGAGATGGAAAGAAGGAGAAGTACTGACCAGAGAAGAATGGCAGACCAAACTGATGGAATATGCAGAAATGGCGAGACTGATGGGAAAGATCAGAAACCAGCAAGACCAAGTATTTTTTTAAAAAATGGAGTAACTTTTAAATATAGTTATAAGACCACTGTAGACAGTTGAAAATTTCAGGCATAGGCAAACTCGGCCCTCCAGATGTTTTGGGACTACAACTCCCATCATCCCTAGCTAACAGGACCAGTGGTCAGGGATGATGGGAATTGTAGTCCCAAAACATCTGGAGGGCCGGGTTTGCCTATGCCTGGTTGAAATCATTGGCAGGAATACAATGACACTTGTCAAGTGAAATGAACTTTGGTTACTATGATTACGTAATAGATGGATAATGGTAAAAGATGCAGGGGGGGGGAGAATAAATCTTTAGAAATGGAATCCATGGAGGCAGGGGAGAAGGTCTGAAGGTTCAAAAGAACATTTTTTATTTTTATGTTTTGGAATGGTAATGGCTATTGCGTATGTTGTTGTTGTCTAGTCGTTTAGTTGTGTCTGACTCTTCGTGACTCCATGGACCAGAGTACGCCAGGCACTCCTGTCTTCCACTGCCTACCCGCAGTTTGGTCAAACTCATGCTAGTAGCTTCGAAGAACACTATCCAACCATCTCATCCTCTGTCGTCCCCTTCTCCTTGTCGTCCCTTCCCAACATCAGGGTCTTTTCCAGGGAGTCTTCTCTTCTCATGAGGTGGCCAAAGTATTGGAGCCTCAGCTTCACAATCTGTCCTTCCAGTGAGCACTCAGGGCTGATTTCCTTCAGAATGGAGAGGTTTGATCTTCTTGCAGTCCATGGGACTCTCAAGAGTCTCCTCTAGCACCATAATTCAACAGCATCCATTCTTCGGCACTCAGCCTTCAGCTTTTGTGTATAACTTTATGTAAAACTAATAAAAATCTATTTTAAAAAACCAAAAACCGAGGTTGCCTTGCCTGTCACTGAGGTCTTCTTGAGCCTGCCTCGGCAAGCCTTTAGAAATGTGGCATAAACTTTTGTGCTCAGACAAGTATTCCAAGAGGCAGTGGAGGGAGGCTCTCAAACACGCCTGGATATGCTGGCTGCAATAAAAGGTTTTTAGGTGGCATCTGAAGCCGTGTCCGTGAGGGTGCCTGGCTCATGGCAGCGAGCGGGGGATTTTCTGGCGGCCGGCAGAGTGGATGTCCCACGGCATTTGTGGCAGGGCCACTTCCAGCATCTCAGACTGGTGGAATAGGGGTGGTGGTGGCAAGACAGTCCACAGATATTAGGGCTTTCGTTTACTAAAAAGTAAAGCCCTAAGCAGGTCCCAGGAACAAGCTGGCAGCCTGAACAGATTTCTGAGCGCAGGGTGTGGAACCTCCTTCGCTTCGAAAAATTAACAAGCCACTTAATTGAAACCAAAGAGACTTCAAAGTGGTTTTTTGCTGGTTCTTTATCTTTAAGCTGAACTTGGGCCAGGCACTCTTTCAGCAAAAAAGAGAAAAATAACTCTGTCTTCTGTGAAAGGAGGACACACAGGTGCCAGAGTTTGGGGCAAGCTCAGGTTAAATGCTCCTTAGATCTAGCTGAGCAACTTGCACCCATTTTTGCAAAAGCATCCTTTGGCTTCTGCACTCAGTTATGCACTTTCCTGGTCAAAGGTGGTCCGTTTGTAACCAGTGTTTGCTAGTGTTGTTTTTGGATACATCTTCAACTCCTTGAAAGATTCCATCAACAATGTCTCCGAAAAATTCTACACATCACTTGGGAAGACAGGCGAACTAATACCAGTGTACTGGAAGAAGCAAAGATCACCAGTGTTGAAGCAATGTTCTTCAACATCAACTTCGTTGGACTGGTCATGTTGTGCGGATGCCTGATTATTGTCTTCCAAAGCAACTACTCTATTCTGAACTTAAAAATGGAAAGTGTAATGCTGGTGGTCAACAAAAGAGGTTTAAAGACTCTCTCAAAGCAAATCTAAAAAAAGTAGTATAAACACTGACAACTGGGAAACACTGGCCTGCGAGCACTCCAGTTGGAGAACAGCCTTTACCAAAGGTGTTGTGGGCTTTGAAGACGTTCAAACTCAGGACACAAGGGAGAAACGTGCTAAGAGGAAGGCATGCCTGGCAAATCCACACCGTGATCAACTCCCACTCGGAAACCAATGCCCCCACTGTGGAAGGATGTGTGGATCCAGAATTGGCCTCCATAGTCACTTACGGACACATTGTTAAAAACGTGTTTATGGAAGACATTCTTACTTGGCTACGAGGGATTGCCAAAGAATAATAATAAATAATAATAATAAATTTTATTTATACCCAACCCTCCCCTGCCAGAGCCGGGCTCAGGGTGGCTAACACCAGCAAAATTACAGTAAAAACATAATAGGGGAAAAAACCACCAATTTAAAATACAGGTTAAAATGCAATTTAAAATGCAGCCTCATTTTCAAAGTAGCCCATAGATCAAAACCATAAGGGGAGGGAAACATAAGGGTCAGACTGAGTCCAAACCAAAGGCCAGGTGGAACAGAAGAAGAAAGAAGATATGGAAAACCAATAAAAATATTATTATTATCATTTTTTAAAAATCTGCTCCGTTTATCAGTAATGCTATGTCTTATTGTTTCCTGAAAACCAAGGAGCTTTTGTGATCCTTGATGGAAGCCCCTGGAAAGAGGCCCTTTCTGCCGCCAACTGAGGCTTGGCAGGGGGGGGGTTGCTGGGGATGAGAGAGGAAGCAGGCGGCGTTTGCCCCCTTCATTCTCTTCAGGGTGAAGAAGAAGAATCCTGCAGAACTTGTTTGGGCCAGTCAGCATTCCAAGGAGGCCGCCTGGTCAGAAAGGCCTCTTGAAAAACTTGTCTGCGCAGAAAAGGGGAAATAAGTGTGCTGGGCTGAGTTCTCGCCCATTTCTCCTTCCTGCCTTGAGAAGCTGGAAGGGGGAGGCATTAAATGTTGGTGGGGGCCAGCAAGGGACATGAAGGATGGAGAGGAATGGGTGAGTCTTCTTCCTTCCATTCAGCTGGTGCAGAATTCGGCAGCCAGGTTGCTCCCTGGGGCAAGACGGTTTGAGCATCTTTTTTATTTATTTATAGTTTTTATTGCATTTTGTGTCTTACATAAATCCAAAAGAAAAAAAAAGAGCCCAACGTTCAAACCAAAAATAAATATAAACAAAAACATTACAATACATATGAACTAAATAAACATTTTCCCTCCACCATAATTAATATTCTGAATTATCAATCATTAACATTCTAATCTTTTGAGATGACTTCAGTCCACCTCAATACAAGTCATCCTTTAATTAACTGCCTTCTTTAGATGTTTCTCATTTCTTGGAATTATATGGTTTATTTAGCAGGCACCCCCAAACTCGGCCCTCCAGATGTCATCAGTGCAGGTATGAAAAATATTTAATTTCAATTTTTATCATTTACAATACTGTCTTATTTATTTTATAGTACAGTGCATTGATTATTGCTTTCATTTTAGGGATCATTGGTCTCGTTAGATAGTAAAATTCATGCTAAATTGCTGTTTTACGGGTTGATTTTAAAAGTCTGGAACGGATTAATTCGTTTTGCATTACTTTCTATGGGAAAGCGCGCCTTGGTTTTGGAACGCTTTGGTTTTGGAACGGACTTCTGGAACGGATTAAGTTTGAGAACTTAATGATAGATAGATGATAAATAGATAGATGATAAATAGATGATAGATAGATGATAGATAGATAGATAGATAGATAGATAGATAGATAGGTGATAGATATAGATGATAGAGATGATAGATAGATAGATAGATAGATAGATGATAGATAGATAGATAGATGATAGATAGATAGATAGATAGATAGATAGATAGATAGATAGATGATAGATAGATAGATAGATAGATAGATAGATAGATGATAGATAGATAGATAGATAGATAGATAGATAGATGATAGATAGATAGATAGATAGATAGATGATAGATAGATAGATAGATAGATAGATGATAGATAGATAGATAGATAGATAGATAGATAGATAGATGATAGATAGATAGATAGATAGATAGATAGATAGATAGATAGATGATTACAACTCTGTGAAACTCAACCTCTGTGGCACAATTTGCCTCAAATCCATTCGAAGTTGTATATGTGTTTTCCGTAAAAAAATCACAATTTAGCTCCCACCTCCAAAGTTTGAGAGCCAGTGTGGTTTAGTGGTTAGAGCGCTAGTCTATGACCTGGGAGGCCAAATCCCTTTCCCCCCATGAAGCTCTCTGGGTCGCCTTGAGCCAGTCACTGCCTCTCAGCCTGGCCTCCCTCACAGGGCTCTTGTGAGGAGAAAACGGGCGAAGCGAGAAGCACGCGTGCCCCTTTGAGCTCCTCGGAGGAAAGGTGGAACATAAATGCTGTAAAGAAAGAAAGAAAGAACAAATGCAATTTATGTGAAGAATGATGCACCTAGCACAGTGCATTACGGCAGCTACAGGCAGAAAAACCATTAAATGGTCTGCAAAGGTTCTTGGCAATTTTCTGGAGGTCTGTGGGAGGGAGGGGGAGTTTGGGACCCCCAGATGGAGACGGTCCTGAGGCAGGTGGACAACCAGTGGTTGGTCTCAGTCCAAGGTACCTCCCTGCCTCCCTGCTTTGGTTTCTGCATGTTTCTCCCTTGGTAAGCGATGAAACATAATATGAAAGATGACCTTTGCCTTCAGCTCTGAGTGGTGGCTCTGTTTATTAAATGGCAAGCGATAGCACACTTCTCAGAGAGGCACCCATAGGCGGGCCTGGGCGATATGCAAAATGTCTTTCAGTTTAATTGATCAGCTGAAAGGCAGGCGATTAATCTGCTGCGGAGGAAAAGGGATAATCAGTTGACAGCCCTGATTGCAATTGGCTTTGCTGTCTGGGGCCCCAACCATTGAGGGAGTGGGGCCCAGCTGCAGTTTAAAAAGATCTGGTCCAGCATTCTGTTCTCACAGGGGCCAGCCAGATCCCTGTGGGAAATCAGGAAGCAGGTTGTGAGCACAAGAGCAACTCTCCCCTCTTGCGCTTTCCAGCAACTGGGATCCAGGAACATTGCTGTCTCGAACATAGAATAGCCACCATGTCTAGAAGCCCTCCATAGCCTTCTCCTCCTCCATGCATCTGCCAGTCCTCTTATAAAGCCATCCAAGTTGGCCATCCCTGCCTCCTGTGGGAGGGAGTTCCGAAGTTTACCGTATTTTTCGCTCCATAAGACACACTTTTTTCCTCCTAAAAAGTAAGGGGAAATGCCTGTGCGTCTTATGGAGCAAATGTGCGGTCAATCACTGGCTCCCTTTCCAGCTCCTTACCCAGGCTTCCATTGTTGAATGTTCTGCAGATGGAGGCTGTTTGTTTCCCCAGCGACATGTGACTGGCTGATTAGATTATCTGTCTGGAAACTGTAGAAACGGCTCCCTTTCCTTTTCTAAAGAAGCTGCAGGTAACTGTGAGTTGAACCCCATAAAAACAGGATTTCCCCCCTTTGCAAGGTAAGCTCAACAACTTTGAGCTGATCCTCAAAAAAAGGGGCTTTCCCCCTTTGCAAAAGAAGCTGCACAACTGAGAGCTGAACCGCCCAAAAACGGGGCTTTCCCCCTTTCTTCCTCTAAAAACTAGGTTTATCCGCTATCTCCATGTCTATCCGCTATCTCCATGTCAGGCATGGAAACCAAGCCAGATTATTGTGCTTGTCCACCAATCAAACCATCAAACCAATATTGTGCTTGTCCATATAACCCTGCTTTGTCGCTTACTGCAACCACTAGGATGCTATAAGATCCACTATCCTGGAACATTACATATGGTATGTACAGTAGTTGAAGGCTTTTTAATATTATTTTTGCTGGAAAATGTGTGAGATTACCATATTGTATTTGTTTGCTTTACCTAGAGCCTGTACTTCTGATGAAGCCTAGATGGCGAAGCAAGGCTAATATTCCAGAAATCCTTGTCTTAGACTCTGCGAAAGGATTCTGTGGAACTGTAACAACTCTTCATGTGGATTATTGGACTCTGTGAACAGACAGGTGGAATAGACACTTATACATGTATGGACCTTATGCATGAACGGAATATAGAATGAACTGATCCACTGGGTCTTCTGCTTTTTTTGTTGAACTTTATGAGACTTCCATTGAAATCTACAATTTGATACAATGAATGGTATACCTTATTTATTCAAAAATACAGCCGGTTACGTCTTGTGTGTTTATTGAGTATGTTTCACGTAACCATAGATTTGTTGTTGTTTTGCTAATGCATGGAAACCAAGCTAGATGAGGAACGGTTGAAGGATTTGAGTATGTTTAGTCCAGGAAAGAGGAGACTGAGAGGAGATATGATAGTATCTGTTTTTTCTGTGTGTTTTTTAAAATTTAATTAATTAATTTAACATAATTATTACAAAATATAAACAAAATATTGCAAATACATACATACATATATATTTCAGATAAGCACACATTTATAAAAAAAGATCAAAAGAGAAGAAAAGAAGAAAAGAAAAAAGAAAAAAGAAGAAAAAATAGAGAGAGAAAAGAAGAAGAAAATTTGGAAGAATTTCTTCCAAATTTATTCTACAAATATCTCAATATGAAATATTAATAAAATTTCATTGATTGACTTCCATCGCTTACACTGCACTTCCTATATACCTTTTAAGCAAGATTGTATCTGTTATTCCCTATTTTCCCCACACAATCTCAAATATTCTAATCAATAGATTTTTTTCTAAATCTTTCATAAATCTATTCTAAACACAACCAATACTTTACATTTAATCTTTGTCTACATAGTAGACATATGATAGCATCTGAAGGGCTGTCACGTGGAAGAGGTAAAAGGGAACAAGCTTCTTTTCTCCTGCTCGGGACGGCAGGACTCGAAACCGTGGATCCAAGTTACGAGAAAGGAGATTCCAACTAACCTCAAGAAGAACTTTCTGACAGTAAGGGCTGTTCGACCTTGAAATGGTCTCCTTCGGGAGATGGGGAGCTCTCCTTCCTTGGAGGTCTTTAAGCAGAGGCTGAATTGCTATCTGTCCTGGATGTTTTAGCTGAGATTCCTGGATTTCAGGGGGTTGGACTAGATGACCTTGGGTGGTCCCTTCCAACTCCACCATTCTATGATTTTACACACTTTGGTCATGTTGCTTCTTCCTCGCCTTTTCTCTATCATTTCAATGGCTCTTTCCTGTACATACCTGCAGCTTCTCCTTTCAACTTTCGCCATCTCTGCTTACAAGGATATTTCGGACTGGGCTGGGTTGTGGTGCCAGGTTCCCCGAGCACCGCCGGGACCAGTAGAACCAGTGAGGCCCACTGGAATCCCAGCAATGGCTTCCAGCACGAGCTCAGGGTGGCGATCTCCTGGGAAGGGGCAACGTAGCTCAGTGGTTAGAGCACCTCCTTGGCAGGCAGAGGTTCCCAGGTTCCATCGTCCTCTGGCAGCATCTCTGGGGGGGAGGGGCTGGCAAGGTCCTGTGCCTGAACCCCTGGAGATTTGCGGCTGCCAATCAGTGCTTGTTGTTGTTGTTGAGTCATTTAGTCATGTCCACCTCTTTGTGACCCCACGGACCAGAGCACGCCAGGCACTCCTGTCTTCCACTGCCTCCTGCAGTTTAGTCAAATTCATGCTAGTAGCTTCGAGAACACTGTCCCACCATCTCGTCCTCTGTTGTCCCTTTCTCCTTGTGCCCTCCATCTTTCCCAACATCAGGGTCTTTTCCAGGGAGTCTTCTCTTCTCATGAGGTGGCCAAAGTATTGGTGTCTCAGCTTCACGATCTGTCCTTCCAGTGAGCACTCAGGGCTGATTTCCTTCAGAATGGATACGTTTGAACGTCTCGCAGTCCATGGGACTCTCAAGAGTCTCCTCCAGCACCATAATTCAAAAGCATCAATTCTTCAGCGATCAGCCTTCTTGATGGTCCAGCTCTCACTTCCATACATCACTGCTGGGTAAACCATGGCTTTAACTATACGGACCTTTGCCGGCAAGGTAAAGTCTCTGCTTTTTAAGATGCTGTCTAGGTTTGTCGCCAGTGAGTGCAGATTATGCTAATTTGGCCCCTGGGGTTCAGGATGAGGGCAAAATCTGACCCCACCCAAAAGTCAGTGAAGGGCGATGACTGCCCACTCATGTTTTCTTTACACCCAAGAGAAATGGGTGGGGTTTTTGGGTCCCCCTTTCGGTGGGGGCGTCTGGGCTCAGAGAGGCATGAGAAGGGGGCAACTGGGGGCAAACTTTCTTCGACCGGCTGTGTGCAGCTCTGCTCAAAAAGAAGAAAACGGCATTCAGAAACACCAAATTTTGCCATCAATATATATTTTTTTGTTCCAGTGCAAAGCATCTCCCGACCAAATGCAATCAATATTGCCTATTAAAAAAGGAGGTTTCTTAAGGGTTCTCCTTAGAAAAACAAGATTGCCTGCAGCTCTCCCCCCCCTCCTCTCTTTCAATCTATTGCCAACATATTTAGGGGACTTAAAATTCATTTTTTTGAGCGCAGGGGGGCGGGGGAAATAACCCCCTGTTGCTTTTGCTTCATTGCACCTTTTCCTATTTGCATGGAGGATAAAGCTTCTTGCATACCTTTGCATTCCTAATTTCTTAGGGGTTAGAGGTCTCTTACCCTCCCTCTTTTGTTGCAGCTTTTAAAACACACACACACACACACACACACACACACACACACACACTTAAGCCTCTCCCCTCCCTCCAGCAAAAGCAATCTCTTCCCCGCCCCCACCTGCAGAGCAGCAGGTCGCTTTATAAAGTACGGTATTACGAACCCCGTTTAATTGAAATGCGCCACACGCCACCAGCAGCTCCATTAGCAGAATTAATTTGAATAGATGGCACTGAACGCAAAATGCGAGGGGGGAGGGAGAGGAGAGCGGGGCAGGTAACGTCGGACAGGCACCCCCAAGACGCCATAGGGAGCCCCCCTAAAATGTTGGGGGGCTGTGTTTATAAATGTTAATTTGTCATATATAAAATCCTAATCTGCACGCTGCAGCGACCATGCAAAGAGGTGGGGGGAATAATTATTTTCCTCCAAATGAAATTTTAAAGGGGAGATGGAGAGAAGGCGTTGCTTTGAAAGGACAACTGTTGCAGAGGAGAAAGGAAGGAAGGAAGGAAAGAAAGAAAGAAAGGGAAAGAGGAGCGAGGGGAGGGGTGTAACATTCAGGGTGTTTTAAAACGCCCTTGGATTAGCTGGAATCACATCCTAATCCCAGCTGGATTTCAGCAAAGCTGCAATCTTGGTGGGTTGTTTCGGGGGGGGGGGGAGAAATGTTTCTGCCCAGATGGTGCCCAATACAGCCGTCAGGATTAATGTTGCAGCGCTCCCCCCGCCCCTCCACAAACACACATCTATTTCACCCATAAATTAGTAGCCTTTTTTCGTGGCTGCATTTGCGCCTCTGGGCGTTGCCTCTCCTCTTCGTGCATCGTGACAAGTTGCATTTATTTCTGTTTTCAAATGCCCACATTCCTTGGTGGTTTTGTTTCGGGTGCTACCATTTGCACCCACAATTCCCCCACCCCCCTCAATTCTAAAGAACTGGGATGCCAGTTCCGCATTCCCAAAACCGCTTTGCATTTCGCCCCCCCCCCTCAGATTCCATCTCTGCATCCTGCAGGCTAAAACAGGTCGGGGAAAAACGAGAGGCGTTTCAGAAGCGGCTTGTGAGATGGGATGCAAGAATGCTGTGCTTAGAAGAAAAAAAGCATCCAAAAACGTAAGAATGAGAAAAAATCCTTTCTGGATCAGGCCCATTTTGTGCCAACCAAATACACGCAGGATCCTTTGCACAAGAGCAACTCTCCAGCAACTGGCATTCAGAGTCATTGCTGCCCTCCAGCCTGGAGGCAAGAACCCTTTCCTCCTCCATGAATTCATCAGATCCTCTTTTAAAGCCATCCAAATTGGTGGCCTCATGTGGGAGGGAGTTCCAGAGTTTAACTCTGTGCTGCGAAGAAGTAATTTCTTTTATCTGTCTTCAATCTTCCATTTCATCTTCCTTGGATGTCCACGGGTTCCTGCGTAGGAGAGAGGGAGAAAAACTTTTCTCTGGCCTCTTTCTCAATGCCAGGCGTAGTTTCATGAACTTCCATCGCATGCCTCTTCCTTGCCTTTTCTCTAATCTTTGTTGTTGTTTAGTCATGTCCGACTCTTCGTGACCCCCTGGACCAGAGCACACTCAGGCACTCCTGTCTTCCACTGCCTCCCGCAGTTTGGTCAAATTCATGCTGGTAGCTTTGAGGACACTGTCCCACCATCTCGTCCTCTGTCGTCCCCTTCTCCTTGTGCCCTCCATCTTTCCCAGCATCAGGGTCTTTTCCAGGGAGTCTTCTCTTCTCATGAGGTGGCCAAAGTCTTGGAGCCTCAGCTTCAGGATCTGTCCTTCCAGTGAGCACTCAGGGCTGATTTTCTTCAGAATGGAGAGGTTTGATCTACTCTAAGAAGTCCCAAACGCTGCAACTGTTCTTCATAGAAGAGTTGCTTCCTTCACTGGATAATTTTGGCCACCCTTTTCTGAACCTTTCCCAGGTGAGGCGACCAGGAAACACACCGTCTTGTGGGTGCAGTTAAAAGTGTCCCCTGGGATCTGTGGCAGAAGGTCATCTCTGCCCCTTGTTCAGTCCTCGGTTAGATCACAGCCACAGATTATAATTGTTCTTGAAGGCTGAAATATTATATATACCCAGGATCAAGTGCCTTTGAACCCAAGGGGGGGGGGCTTCCTTCTGAGTCAAGGTTTGCGTTTTGAGGCTGTAATCCTAAAACACCTGGAAGTTGGTCCCCCCCAAACTATTGCCTGGGACCGCCCTGTTTCAGTATTTTAGAGAAACACTGACTTCAGGAAATAAGAGACCTGTGAGAAGAATAATGAAAAATGTGTCAGAATCACCCCTCTGCCACGTTCCTTGCTTGCTTACCTGTCAGGGTAGAAATAAATCAGATGTTGGCAGCAGCCTCTGGAGCAAATGTCATTTGATTATTTTTACATAGCTCAATTATTGCTAGCCAGGAAACGCCCAAGTATCATAAAGTCGTCAACCGACGTTGGCAATTAGCCTCCAGGGGCTTGTTTTGTGTGTGTGGTACACTGGATGCAAGTTCAACTCCTCTTTCAGGCAACTGCTATGCCTGACTCACATACATGTCTGGACAGGTGAGATGGCAAAAAGTTTGTGTGCAACTTTGGTGGAATTATTTGCAAGGCTGATCTATCCGAAAAGCCGGATAAGATCTTGGCGTTTTCAGCGAAGGAGGCAGGTCGATTTGCTGCTCAGCAAGTTCTCCTCTGGCTGGGGCTGAGGTGAACTGTAATCCAAAACTCCTTTGTTGTTTAGTCATTTAGTCGTGTCCAACTCTTCATGACCCCCTGGACCAGAGCACACCAGGCACTCCTGTCTTCCACTGCCTCCCGCAGTTTGGTCAAACTCATGTTTGTAGCTTCGAGAACACTATCCAACCATCTCATCCTCTGTCGTCCCCTTCTCCTTGTGCCCTCCATCTTTCCCAACATCAGGGTCTTTCCCAAGGAGTCTTCTCTTCTCATGAGGTAGCCAAAGTATTGGAGCCTCAGCTTCAGGATCTGTCCTTCCAGTGAGCACTCAGGGCTGATTTCCTTCAGAATGGAGAGGTTTGATCTTCTTGCAGTCTGTGGGACTCTCAAGAGTCTCCTCCAGCACCATAATTCAAAAGCATCCATTCTTCGGCCATCGGCCTTCTTTATGGTCCAGCTTTTACTTCCATACATCACTACTGGTAAAACCATAGCTTTAACTATACGGACCTTTGTTGGCAAGGTGATGTCTCTGCTTTTTAAGATGCTGTCAAGGTTTGTCATTGCTTTTCTCCCAAGAAGCAGGCGTCTTTTAATTTCGTGACTGCTGTCACCATCTGCAGTGATCATGGAGCCCAAGAAAGTAAAATCTCTCACTGCCTCCATTTCTTCCCCTTCTATTTGCCAGGAGGTGATGGGACCAAAACTCCTAGACGGCCACAATTAAATGAAATCGGTCTACACCACAGACCTAACCCGGTTGAATGACCACCATTCTGTCTCCTGGGGTGCCCTGGGAGTTGTAGTTCTGCAAAGAGGGAAATTCTCAGAGCCTTCATCAAACTGCAACTCCCAGGATGTTTTGTGGGGGAAACTGGAGCAAAACTTTGCAGTGCAGCGCAGACGGCCCCGAGTGAGCGTAAGTCGAAAATGTTTGACAGTGAACATCAAAGCTTTCTGGCAGCTTCACATGTCAGGAGCCTGAGAAATTTTGCACCTACATCAGCAGCTCTGGTGAGTATTTAATCTGAGGAATATGCAAGCCAGGTCTTGCCCGACTTGGCTGAAGGACGCTGAAATGTGCCAATCCCTTTCAGTGTGAAACCTGTCGAGAGAATCAATAATTTTCTCAGATGGAATTGCTCCCATTATGCTTTAAGACGGAAGCTTGTTGCCTTTTCTTGGCTGTTGCCAGAACGGAACTCGTGAGGCATCTGTGGAAATAGCCTTTCAAATTCTCATCAGCAATGTTTGCATTTTCAGGGGAACAAACAGAAAACTTTCCGCAGTGTGCTTGGGCGCAATGGAACTGCTATTTCATAGCTGTGCTTTCATTTCCAAAATGTTTAAATCTTATTCAGTATTGAGAAAATGAAACTTAAGTGCTTGTCAGCTATCCTAGAACATTCCTAAAAGCTGAAATGTTTGAAGCCGGGAACAGGTTTATTTCTTAGGGAGTCTGAAATATACTCAGAGTCGCAAAGTGATTTCATGCTCTTTATTCAGCTCATAGTGGTGAGGAGGAATGAATGAAAGTCCCCTCAAAGTATCTGCTTTATATACATTATTTACACAATGGGCTGCACATGATTGGCTAATTCCGGAATTCTACTGTAAGCCAATCAGGTTGTGGATTCACTTCTATCTGGAGCATGATTGGGTAGTTCCTGCCAACCAATCATACTGCTGCATTGTTCTAGGACCAATCAGACTGCTGCATTCTGAATCCTATTGTTCTAGGACCAATCAGACTGCTGCCTTTTGGATCCTATTGTTCTAGGACCAATCAGACTGCTGCAGTTTGGATCCTATTCAACTCAGTACATAACAGAGTCTTTAGCTACTGGGTCTGCCCACATTTTTTTTCTTTGTACCTTATATCACTACCACTAAAATTCAGAGGCTCTTTGTAAAGTGGAAGCTGAAAATGCAAGGTCTCCCCCTGGAATATTCATGAGAAATTTAGGTCCCCGCAGCCCTGGCTGGCTTAAGATATTTTGCGGTCAGAAGCAGCAGTGAACAGCACTACCACTGTACTTGCCCAAGGTATGTATAACTCTGAGTGCTACCTCCATTGCCATATGTTAAAAAATAAAGATTTACTTTTCTGTTTTCTTCACTTGCCAAACCCTTTTGAATGCTTATTCCCCCCCCCCCACTGGACATACTTGGAAAAGGCTGGGAATGGTGGTCCAGATTCTTTGAGAAGACACCTCACCCACCACTGCTGATTTTTCCCTATAGCAAAAAGCCACGGGGAATTCCTGGCATGCTCTACCAGATCATGTGGGGCAGAGTCACAACCCAGCAAGGGTCTGGATACTGCCGAGGAGTGTACCACCAATGGCCACATACAGTGGCACCTTGGTTCTCAAACTTAATCCGTTCCAGAAGTCCGTTCCAAAACCAAAGGGTTCCAAAACCAAGGTGCACTTTCCCATAGAAAGGAATGCAAAATAGATTAATCCGTTCCAGACTTTCAAAACCAACCCCTAAAACAGCAATTGAACGTGAGTTTTACTGTCTAACGAGGCCATTGATCCATAAAATGAAAGCAATCAACAATGTGCTGTACTATAAAATAAATAAAACAGTATTGTAGATGATAAAACTTAAAATTAATTTTTTTTCTTACCTGCACTGATGACAGTCATTGTTTGGATGGGGAGCTTTTATCCATTTCTGCAGTCACACAATCAATCAATCAATCAATCAATCAATCAGTAGCTGAACTGGCTTCCACACAGTCACAAAAACAAATTAACCGAAAAAGCCTCAAAAACAAAAACGCAAAATAAACAGCAAAAACAAAAGCGCCAAACTTAATCCATTCTGGAAGTCCGTTTCACTTTGGAAATGTTCAAAAACCAAGGTGCAGCTTTTGATTGGGGCAGGTGCCCCGGAAACAATAGCTGACAGCCGCATCGGACATTCGGCTTCCGAAAAATGTTTGAAAACCGGAACACTTACTTCCAGGTTTTTGGCATTTGGGAACCAAGGTACCACTTTATCCCAGAATCCCCTGCAATTGCCCTGGGCATCGGTGACAAGACAACCTGTGTGGGCAGGCAAGCGGATGTGGAAAACTTTGAAAACCTCTGACACAGTATGATGTGGACCAATGTCTTTTTTTTAACACCAACCCTGCAGGGAGGACCTGGGCCTGAGAGAGAGGCAGGCCTCAAAAGCAGCTCCAGGCTTTGACAAATGACATTCCAGTCCTGCTCCTGCCATGCTCCTTTCCCGGGTAGGTTTGCTGCAGCAGAAGGTGGGCGTTGCAGTTTTGATTTGTTCTGGAAATGTCAGTTTCAAAGGAGAGGCTTTGCGTTGGAAGAATCTCCAGCTTCTTTTCCTCCCAGTTCTAGTAAACAAAGGGGGATTTCTTTTTTGCAAGCAGCTGGGGAAGGATCAGACCTTCCAGAGAAAGACGAAAAACTTGCACACTCCGTTGTTTGAGCTGGAGTAAGACAATTAAAAAGAGTTATACCCCTATGAAACAAAATAAACCAAAGATACAGAGAATAAAGAAATACAGACACAGCAGGTTGAAAGCAGCATCAGGTTGGATATTATCACTGAAGTTGTTGTTCTAAAACATTACAGAAAATACCCATTTCCCCCCATAAACCTGTAGATTGGTTTATATGTATTCCTTTGTAATAAGCTAGCTTAATCATCATTTACTATAGACCAAATTTTCTCAGTCCATTCAGATATAGTAGAAGATAAACTCCCCAACCCCCACATTTTTGACTATAATAATCTTATTTCTTGATCATTTTCCAGAATAACATCTTTTAGATAACCAAGCAGAAATACTTTAGGTTCCATATCAGAGATATTAGCCTGAACGGAGTGCTTCTATTTGAGAACAATTCCAGGAGATGTGTATGCAATCTGCCTTGTTTAATTCACTTTGCCAACATTTATCAAACCCTAACTTAGATATCAAGTTCAAGGCATTAAATACCATTCATGGAAGGTTTTCAAACAGTTCTGCTTTAGGTCTGCTGCAATTATATCAAATTCTCATGCATGTATGATCCAAGATTACAAAATCTTGTGATAATGCCTTTATCCAAACGGGAAATAAATAGAATTTCCCATTTGTTCTCTTTCCTGACTTCCCCACATATATTTGAATCAGAGAGGAGGTTGCAGTGCTGATTTGAAAATACTGGAAGAGCAGAGATCTCCTTCCTCCCATGTGCTTGTTGTGGGATTTCCTAGAGTGGACATGCAGGGGGATGTTTGGTCCAGCTAGTCAAAAACTTCCTGTTTCCTCCTGGCTTGGAGCATCCTTCCCCTTGCATGTGACCAGAGGTGGGTGTGACCTTACCTGTCCAGGTAACAAAAGGACAAGACACACTGCACACTCTCTCTCTTTTGACTTCCTCCGTCGTTGGAGCAGCTTTTTAGATAGAGATGCTCTGTTGGCTTCCAGAGGACACTGGGATTGTCCCCATATGGGATAGATCCACATGCATATACTTTGTAACTAAGTCTGCCTTCAGGGATCCAACTGTGAACTGATGATGTGAGTAAACTTCTTTTATATACTTTACACAAGATTGTGGCATGTTCATTCTTTCAAGAGGGATATAAGGGGACTTGCCAGGAATGTAATATTGAGAGGCTTAACAAGCCTGCAACCAGCTATCTGCTGTGTGTTTAACAGGGGAATGTGAAACTCTGCTAAGTGAAGGAACTTGCTAGCGCAAATTAGGAAGGATATTAATAAACAATATATCCTCTCCTGCCTCCCTGAACATTCCTACACTTGTGACCTCCTCAATTGATGGAAGAGAAGATTTGGAGTGACCTACAAGCCACTCTGATGCGGTCCCTATCCAGCCCTGCTTGGGACCCTCCCCAAGGCACACCCCTTCTCCTCAAGCCCCTCCTGCTCCCCACCCAGCCGGCCTAGAGTACATCCTCACAATGCAACCTTGCCTCTTGCTTGCCCGAATGGGAGGACAGAGAGATTAATAATAAAAAATAAATAAATAAATTTTTATTTATACCCCACCCTTCCCGGTTCAAAAACCAGGCTCAGGGCAGCTAGCAACAAATTTAAAACATTTAATTATAAAAGCAGCATAAAATACAGTATAAAAACATGAATAGCAATAAAATTCAAAATCAATTTAGGGGAAATAAGCATTAGATAATCCCCAGAGCTAGCTGGCTGAACTGGTCCTACTTGGGCCAGTGAGGAGGCCAGGGCAGAATTAGCTGTGGGGTCTCATAGAAGGGGAGGGGGAAGGAAGGGAAGGGAAATAAAAGAACAGGCTGAATTCAAATTAAAGGCCAGGTGGAATAGCTCTGTCTTACAGGCCTGACGGAAGGAGGTTAAATCCTGCAGGGCCCTGGTCTCCTGGGACAGAGCATTCCACCAGGTTGGAACCATCACTGAGAAGGCCCTGGCCCTGGTGGAGGATAGTCTGACTTCCTTGGGGCCCAGGACTTCTAAACTGTGGTTGGGGTGGGGGTGCCCGTTTAGAAACCACTGACTTTTGCATGGCTGGAATGCCACCCACCTCTTTGCCCACCAGTTAGCCCATGATGAGAGGGGATGCAGCCCCCAGGGCTGATAAAATCCCCCCATCCCACCCTGGGTTTAAGGGCGCTCTTTGTTTTCCGAGCACTGAAGCATTTTGTGCGAAAAGAGAGAGGATATCGTGGAGTAGGAGAAGGTTCAGAAAAGGGCAGCCCAAATGATCAATGGGGTGGAGACACTCCCTTGTGGAGGAAGGTTGTAGCATTTGGGATGTAGAGAAAAGCCTAGGAAGAGGTGGCATGATAGAAATTTATGAAATCATGCCTGGCTTGGGAAAAGTGGTCAGAGAAATGTTTTTCTCCCTCTCTGCCGACACGAGAACTTTGGGATGAAGCTGAATGTCAGTCCTTGCGGCTAGGAGCCATAGACAGCCTCCGTGAATTCCTCTCATCCTCTTTTAAAACATCCAGGTTGGTGGGTATCACTGCCTCCTGTGGAAGTGAGTTCCATAGATTAACCGTGTGCTGCCTGGAGAAGGACTTCCCTCTGTCCTGAATCTTCCATTCATTGGCTGCCCAGTAGTTCTAGTGTTTGTAGAGAGGAAGAAACAGTTCCCTATATGCATTTTCTCCCCGTCACGAATCATTTTATACACTGCTTTCATGCCGCCTCTTATTTGCCTGTTCTCTAAGCTAAAAAGTCCCATTCCTTATAGGAAAGGCAGAGAGAGAGAGATCCAGAGGCATAGATTCCTTGAGATCCCAGGGTTGCAGCTGGGTGCCCCCTCAATCCCTTTTACTACTGCAGTCACACAATTCGTGGTGGAGAGGGGCTTTGAACCCAGGTCTCCCAGGTCATAGACCAGCACTCTAACCACTGCACCACCACTGACCGTATTTGACGTGGCATGTCTGAGCAGCGAGGAGAGCTTACCAGTATCTCACAAAGACGTATAAGTCAGAGTTGTCTTACACCGCAGATCAGCTTGCTTCATTTATAAGAAGAAAAGGCTCCGGAGGAAACCCTACACAAATCCAGAGTAGAGTCCCTAAGATGGTTGGGTGGACCCTTGTATGCCTCCTTCCAGCAACTCCAGCAACTGGTGCCCAACATCTTGCCCTGCTTTCCTTTGGACCCCATTGGAGAGGCTAAGAGTGGGGTTTTGTCATCTGGGCAGCCCAGGACCTGCAGACAAACGGCCCAGGCCTGTGCTCCAGGGAGGTCGTGGGTGGCACTGTGGTCTAAACCACTGAGCCTCTTGGGCTTCCCGATCAGAAGGTCGGTGGTTCGAATCCCCGCAATGACGGGGTGAGCTCCCATTACTCTGTCTCAGCTCCTGCCAACCCAGCAGTTCGAAAGCACATCAAATTGCAAGTAGATAAATAGGTACCGCTTAAAGATACAATCTTGCTTAAAATGTATATAGGAAGTGCAGTGTAAGTGATGGAAGTCAATCAATGAAATTTTATTATTATTTTCATATTGAGATATTTGTAGAATAAACTTGGAATAAATTCTTCCAATTTTTCTTCTTCTTTTTCCTCTTTATTTTTTCTTCTCTTTTCTTCTTTTTCTCTTTTGTTCCTTTTTCATATATATATGTGCTTATTTGAAATATGTATGTATGTATGTATTTGCAATATTTTGCTTATATTTTGCAACAATTATGTTAATTTTTTTTTTAAAGGAACCACTGTGGCAGGAAGGTAAACGGTGTTTCCGTGCCCTCTGGTTTCCATCACAGTGTCCCGTTGCGCCGGAAGCGGTTTAGTCCTGCTGGCCACATGACCCAGACAGCTGTCTGTGGACAAACGCCGGCTCCCTCGGCCTGAAAGCGAGATGTGCGCCACAACCCCAGAGTCACCTTTGACTGGACTTAACCGTCCAGGGCTTCTTAACCTTTTACCTTTTACTCCATTGTCTCTTGAGACAGGCAGATGCCGACAACAACACAATTCCACAGTCAAGATTTAGTTAACTGGCGTAGCCTTGGCATGATGATTTTTACCAGTGGCACTCCAGTGGCGACCAGAACAATGCTTGGAGAATTTACCCTGGCAGGGAGCGGTCATGATCAACAATGTTAGAAGCTGCCTTGTGCCGGTTTGAGGCCACTGGTCCCTTTCTAGCTTAGCACTGTGCAATCGGCTCAGAAGCATCTCTCCAGGAGCTGCGGCAGTCAGAGACATCTTCCCAGCTGTGAGACCTCAGATCTGTAGATGGCAGGACTGAACCTGGGGCCTTTTTCACTCTGAGAAGGTGTCCTGACCCCAAGCTTTGGAGAATTTAGTTGAAAGTAAAAGAAATGAGCTCTACATTTCTGTTTGGGACTCTCCCCCCGCCCCCGCCCTGCTTTTGGCACAATTTTAAGCCTTGCTTGTTTACCCCTCCAGATATGTTAATTAAAGTGTGTGATCTCGTGCCATATCAGAAGATACAAAAACGAGTGTTTTAGCCTTATTGCAGCATTAATTAAAAAATGTGAGATTGAAATCATCGTTTCGAAGCGTGCTCTTCCACCCCCCCACTACCTTGATTCTCAGAATCAAAGAGGGTCACGGGCATTTTCTGTGTGGGCGTTGCGGTCGTTTTTCTTTAATGCTTCTTTCTCGAAGCCGGAGGAAACCTGCCAAGAAAGACTGGCAGGTGGAAAGAGGGAAGGTCAGCCATTGTGGAGTCTGGGGTCCCAAGTGGAGGCGCAGGAAAAAATTGTGGAGCCCAAAAGTTCTTCTCATTCACTGGAGGAGTTGGGAAAGGACTATGTCAGTCCCAAGCAGAGAAAATTGCAAGAAGCCTGGAAGGCCCAGGATGAGGAAGGCTCTGAAATTAGGCAGGAAGAACCAGGTGCAGAAATATTAAGATGGGGGATCCCTGGCTTACTAGCAGTACATGTGAAAAGGATCTAGGGGGATCTCTGTGGACCACAAGCTTAACATGTCAACAGTGTGATGCAGCAGCAGGAAAAGCTAATGCAATTCTAGGCTGCATCAACAGAGTCGAGTGTCCAGACCAAGGGAATTATTAGTACTGCTCTATTCTGCCTTGGTCAGACCCAACTGGAGTTCTGTGTCCACTTCTGGGCTCCACAATTTAAGAAAGATGTTGGCAATCTGGAACGTGGGCAGAGGAGGGGCAACCAAGTTGATCAAGGGTCTGGATACCGAGCCGTATGAGGAACGGTTGAAGGAACTGGGTGTGTTTAGTGAGGAAAAGAGGAGACTGAGAGGAAGAAGAAGAAGAGGAGTTTGGATTTGATATCCCGCCTTTCACTCCCTTTAAGGAGTCTCAAAGCGGCTCACAATCTCCTTTCCCTTCCTCCCCCACAACAAACACTATGTGAGGTGAGTGGGGCTGAGAGACTTCAGAGAAGTGTGACTGGCCCAAGGTCACCCAGCAGCTGCGTGTGGAGGAGCGGAGACGCGAACCTGGTTGCCCAGATTACGAGACTACCACTCTTAACCACTACACCACACTGGCTCTCAGGCGATCTGGAGATCTGATTGTTAGGATATAGTTCTGTTCCCCCTTTAGAACAGGCATGTGGAGTTGTTGCATGTCACACGTCTGTTTCCTTCCAGCACAGTCTGCTGGGGACTTCCGTTGTGTGTATAGCTTTTGCCTATGCTGCCGTTTGCTTGGACACGAAGGGAAGCAGACATGTTTTTCCTTTGTCCTGATGCTGAATAAATGCCTGTAAATATGCTTATACAGTGGTGCCTCACAAGACGAAATTAATCTGTTCCGCGAGTCTCTTCGTCTTGCGGTTTTTTCGTCTTGCGAAGCATGGCTATTAGCGGCTTAGCGGCTATTAGCGGCTTAGCGGCTATTAACGGCTTAGCGGCTATTAACGGCTTAGCGGCTTTAAGAAAAAGGAAACAAACTCGCAAGAACTCGCAAGACGTTTCGTCTTGCAAAGCAAGCCCATAGGGAAATTCGTCTTGCGGAACGACTCAAAGAACGGAAAACCCTTTCGTCTAGCGAGTTTTTCGTCTTGCGAGGCATTCGTCTTGTGGGGCACCACTGTATATGCCTCTGTCTGCTACTTCTGTTGCAAAGAGTTCTTATCTCTGCTAGCTTGCGTGCTCAGTCCCTAAATGTCTCTGAGGCCTGAGTCGCAGTTTTGATGCTGTTCTGAGAACTGGAGTTCGCCCGGCGGCCAGCCGGTGGGCTGGAGCCAGCTGGGGGCCTGCCATTTGCCCCCGTCTCCCCAGACGCATCATAACACTGATGGCCATCCTCTCTGTTACATGGAAGAGGGAACAAGCTTCTTTTCTCCTGCTCTGGAGGGTAGGATTCGAACCCATGGCATCAAGCTACAAGAAAGGAGATTCTGAATCAACACCAGGAAGAACTTTCCAACAGTAAGAGCTGTTGGACAGTGGAACGGTCTCCCCCAGAAGGTGGTGGACTCTCCTTACTTGGAGGTTCTTAAGCAGAGGTTGGGTGGCCCTCTGTCTTGCATGCTTTAGCTGAGATTCCTGCATTGCAGGGGGGTTGGACTAGATGATCCTGGGGGTCCCTTCAAACTCTATTGTTTTGTGATTCTATGAAGATACCAGTTGCTTTAAAACCCCAGGAGGAGAGAGGACTCTTGCTCCCGAGTCCTCCTTGTGGGCTTCCCATAAGAGCATCCCGCTGGATCAGGCCAATGGCTCCCCTACTCCAGCATCCCCTTATTGCAGAGGTGGACCAGATGCCTGTGCGAAACCCGCAAGTAGGATCTGGGTGCGAGACCCCTCTTCCCTCCTGCTGTTTCAGGGGATTCAGAAGCCCTGCTGCCTCCAACTGTGGGGGCAAAGTGTAACCACCATGTCTAGTTGCCATTGATAGCCCTCTCCTCCTCCACCAATTTGTCTAATCTTCTTTGAAAGCCACCCAGGTCGCTGACCATCCCTGTGGCAGGGAGTTCCACAGTTTAACTCTGTGCTGCATGAAGAAGGACTTCCTTGTCTCTGTCCTGAACTCTTCCAACATTCAGCTTTGTTGGGTTTCCATGAGTTAGGAGATGCCCCACTTTCTCCTTGCCATGCGTGATTCCGCACGCTTCCATCGCGCCAACTCTTGGTCTCTGCGCCAAAGAGTCTTTTCCACCTCGGGGAGTCTCTCTCCTGCCTCTTCTTTTCCAGGCTGGTTGGAGAGGCCGCCTGCTTTGCATGTGGCTTATAGACTAGCAGGGAGCAGAGCTCCTTTGTGTCCATCTGTTGCCAGCCTTGCTTAGTAACAGCGAGAAGGTGCTGCGATGCACGTCCCACTGCAGAGGCGAGCGGCCTCAGTGCAGCTGCCGGTCAGATTTTGGTGGCCCATTTCCCCTCCTCCTCCTCCCCCCTGAAACTGCTGTCCACAATGTGTGGATGATGGTGGCAAGAGTGCCTTTATTTTGCTCCTTTCTTTTTGCTTTGCAAGGGACCAGTTCTCACATGCTCGCTTGCTTGGAAGCAAACAGGAGCTCTCCAGGGTCCAAGAAAAGAGAGAGAGAAAGCCCTCACCTCATTTCCCCTTCTCCTTTTACCTGCAGATCCCCTGAGGGAATGGACCTGCTACCTTCTGCATGCAAATAACAACAACAACAACAACAACAACAACAATAATTTATTGTTTATACCCCGCCCATCTGGCTGGGCTTCCTCAGCCACTCTGGGCGGCTTCCAACAAAATATTAAAATACAGTAATACATCAAACATTAAAAGCTTCCTTAAACAGGGCTGCCTTCAGATGTCTTCTAAAAGTCTGGTAGTAGTTGTTCTCTTTGACATCTGATGGGAGGGCGTTCCACAGGGCAGGCGCCACTACCGAGAAGGCCCTCTGCCTGGTTCCCTGTAACTTCGCTTCTCGCAATGAGGGAACCGCCAGAAGGCCCTCGGAGCTGGACCTCAGTGTCCGGGCTAGAACGATGGGCGTGGAGACGCTCCTTCAGATATACTGGACTGAGGCCGTTTAGGGCTTTCAAGGTCAGCACCAACACTTTGAATTATGCTCAGAAACATACTGGAAGCGAATGTAGGTCTTTCAAGTTATGTGGTCTCGGCATCCGCTCCCAGTCACCAGTCTAGCTGCTGCATTCTGGATTAGTTGTAGTTTCCGGGTCACTTTCAAAGGTAGCCCCACGTAGAGTGCATTGCAGTAGTCCAAGCGGGAGATAACTAGAGCATGCACCACTCTGGCTAGACAGTCTGTGGGCAGGGAGGGTCTCATCCTGCATACCAGTTGGAGCTGGTAGACAGCTGCCCTGGACACAGAATTGACCTGCGCCTCCATGGCAAAGCAGGCTTCGAGCCACACCTGAGGCTGGTTCGCAGATGATGTTCTTCATGCAGTGCACCGTTAACCTGTGGAACTCCCTCCCACAGCAGGCAGTGACGGCCACCAAGTAGGATGCCTTCAAAAGAGGGCCAGGCAGATGTATGGAGGAGGCTATGAATTGCTACAAAATGCGATTTCTATGGTCTGCCTCCGCAGTTAGAATGCCAGTGGCTGGAAGCCACAGGAGGGGAGAACGTTCTTGTGTTCGAATCCTGCTTGTGGGTCTCCCGCTGGGGCATCTGGTCGGCCACTGTGAGAACAGGATTCTGGACAAGAAGGGCCATTGGCCTGATCCTGCAAGCATATCTTGTGTTCTTGTGTCAGGCCTGCAGCACGGAGTGAAAATGTTCACATGCTATCAGTCCTCACAACCTCACAGAGAGAACGTCTTCCACCTCATCCCCCAACCCTGTCTAGGTGGAGGTAATAATAATAATAATAATAATAATAATAATAATAATAATTTTATTATTATTTATATCTTGCCCTCCCCAGCTGAAGCCGGGCTCAGAGCGGCTTACAACAATAAAAGTAAAACAACATTCTAAAATCAATTCATTCTAAAATCAATTCAGAATCAAATTAAAGGCAACCGTTGGGCTAGAGGTCTGTGCAGATTACCAAAAGAGGGGGTCAGGCTGTGCCTTGGCCAAAGGCCTGGCGGAACAGCTCTGTCTTGCAGGCCCTGCGGAAAGATGTCAATGTCAGCATCGCCCTTGAGCCAATGCCACTAACTGGCCTCACACACTTCAGCCCCGACTGGGCCAGGCGAGCTGGGTAGCACTTCCAGAGACCACCTTCTGCACAGGAACAGGTCAAAGTGCGGTGGACTCACAGCTTAGAGTTGTGAGCACCAGATTCACTCCCACAAGAAGACAGTCGTCGCACAGCAGAGTATAGCAGAGTATAGCAGAGCATAAACGACTCAGAGAGCAGCTCTGTAGAATATCTTCTTTATTCTATCTACAACTATAATACACAACTATGTACAGAGCTAAATGAGGTCTAAACGAAAATGCTGAACTGCACTGAGTGTCTGCAGCTGCTCTTAGCAGCAACCTTATCTATACACACGATCTCTCTCTAACACTCAGTCTCTCTCTCTCTTTGATGTGAGGCTGGAGCAAAATAAGTGGAAAGCAGAAATCGCCCCCTCCTCTCTGGAGAATCAGCAGAGAACACCAGCAGATTC